GAATTGTCCTGGCTGTGGATGAAGTTAAATAATCCTGTATATACAATGGGACAAGGAAAAATTTCCTCCCTTGATTAGTTAAGTACGTTGATAAGGTTGCTCACTTGCTCAGAATGTTTTTTCTTCACAAGCAAACATGGTATAACCTTGGAGGCCCATGGAATCCACCACATGGAGAAATTATTCTTTATTTTATTTTTATTTTTTTTTTAAATATGAAATTTATTGTCAAATTGGTTTCCATACAACACCCAGTGCTCATCCCAACAGGTGCCCTCCTCAGTGCCCATCATCCACTTTCCCCTCCTGCCCATCTGCCATCAACCCTCAGTTTATTCTCAATTTTAAGAGTCTCTTATGGTTTGGCTCCCTCCCTCTCTAACTTTTTTTTCCCCCATGGTCTTCTGTTAAGTTTCTCAGGATCCACATAAGAGTGAAAACATACGGTATCTGTCTTTCTCTGTATGACTTACTTCACTTAGCATAACACTCTCCAGTTCCATCCACGTTGCTACAAAAGGCCATATTTCATTCTTTCTCATTGCCAAGTAGTATTCCATTGTATATATAAGCCACAACTTCTTTATCCATTCATCAGTTGATGGACATGTAGGCTCTTTCCATAATTTGGCTATTGTTGAGAGTGCTGCTATAAACATTGGGGTACAAGTGCCCCTATGCATCAGCATTCCTGTATCCCTCGGGTAAACTCCTAGCAGTGCTGTTGCTGGGTCATAGGGTAGATCTATTTTTAATTTTTTGTGGAACCTCCACACCGTTTTCCAGAGTGGCTCCACCAGTTTGCATTCCCACCAACAGTGCAAGAGGGTTCCCGTTTCTACATGGAGAAATTATTCTAATGAGCTTAACATGTTTATCCAGCTAAGATTCTAGAGTGGATTAGAAAAGGGATGGTTTGTGAACATTAAGAGGTCATTAAGAGTCAAAATCATGTCAAACTAATTTCAGGGACAGATGGTAGATACTTGTAGACTTCATTAAGGCAGCTGATATCTTTGACAACGTCTGTGGACAAGATAGAATTATTGATTGGATAATGGTACAAACCAATTGCAGTGGGAGACACAGTGTGGCTAGTACGGTCCTGGAGCCAGACACCTGGTTTCAAACCCTAGCATTTCAACTCCTTAACCTGTGTGACTTCAGTCCAGCTACTTACCCACTCTGTGCTTCACTTACCTCATCTGTAAAGTGGGGATACTAATAGCGTCCGTTGTAAGGATTAAATAAGATGAAAAATAATTAGTAATAAATAATGAAGTGTTTAGAACAGTACCTGGCATGTGCAAGTTGATATGCAGAGGTCATTGCTATTAGCATTCATTATAACAATCATTGTTATTAGGCTGTTGAATGACTGTACACAAAGCAAACTGATTAATGACCGTAGTGACTCATACAGAATTGATTAGTATGTAGAAACTCTTAAGTCTTTTCCATACCCTCACTACTTAGCCACATTTTTGCCCTGTAGTACTTGTACTGCCGATTTTTAGAAGTCTAATGAAAAATCCACTTATTCTCACTCTGTCTTTTGAGGAGTCTGGGGTAGGTGGGCAGGCTGGAAGATGATTTCTCTGTCAAAGGTATATGTATGCATTTTACAAACATACTCCTACTTGGAATACAAGATCTTGATAAGCTAAAATGATAGCTCCAATTCTAGGAACACATGCTGGATCCTGGAGTGTTGAAATCATCTCTAAAGTTAGTGATGGATTGAGATTGATTTTATTTCATACTATTTACATTTTAAGAATCCTTTGGTAACTATTACCCCAAATTCCATGATTCTGTTACCAACAGTTGTTTAACTGAGTTTTCACCGGTTTCATTTCTTACCGCTCTTTGTTGATGGAAGTTGTTTTTTTTTTGTTTGTTTGTTTTAATTATGTTTTCCCCTTTCTTCACAGTATTTATTCTGATGTTTTTCACTGGCTTGAATACTTTTCAAAATCTTTTTCAGAAAAGAAATGCCAATAGTATAATTTCTGAGATCCTTCATGTTCTGAAATGTCACTCCTTGGCTTAAATATAGTATAATGTCTTGTTCCCTTTTCCTTAGAATTCTATAAATATTACTCTATTATTATCTGGTTTTAGACAAGAAGTCCTAGGTCAGATTGTTTTCTTTTCCTCATAGATTACCATTCCTTTTTCTCTTCCTTTATAGATTTTTCTTTTATTCCATGAAATTCAGAATGACTTTCATTTTCAACATTCATGCCTGTCACCTCAAAAGGCTGTTTGGATGTGAATACTTAAGCAGAGGAAATTTTCCCTTTGATATTAATTCTTACACATCAGCACCATTCCCTTCCACAATTCCTCTTAAATGGATACTGAATATTTTGGATCTGTCCTTATTTATTGTCCTATAGCTACTGTCTCATATAATTTCTTTTTCTATTCTTTCTTTAAAAAATGTTTTTATTTTTATTTTTGAGAGAGAGAGAGAGAGAGAGAGAGAGAGAGAGAGAGAGAGAAGGAGGAGGCACGGAGAGAGAGAGGTAGACACAGAATCCTTAGCAGGCTCCAGGCTCTGAGCTGTCAGCACAGAGCCCAATGCAGGGCTTGAACTCTTGAACTGCAATATCATGACCTGAGCTTAAGTCAGATGCTTAATCAACTGAGCCACCCAGCACCCCCGTTATAATCTATTTTTCTGTGTTTTTGGAGAATTCTTCAAGCTGGAATTTGCAAGTTTATTTCTCAGCAGTGATCAACCTGTTATTCAATGCCTCTATTGGGTTTTTATTTTTGGCATTCATATTTTGTTTTTAATTTCCAAGATCTCATTTTTTTTTTTCAAAAGCCCCCTTTTTTTTTCATTGATTGTGGTTTCCTTTTTTTTTTTTTTTTTTTTTTTTTTTTAAGAGAGACAAAGAGATCATGAGTTGGGGAAAGGGGTAGAGGCAGAGAGAGAGAATCCCAAGCAGGCTCCATGCTCAGTGCAGAGCCACACATGGGGCTTGGCCCCGCAACCCTGGGATCATGATCTGAGCTGAAATCAAGAGGCAGATGCTCAACTGACTGAGCCACCCAGGCACCCCTCCTTTTTTTTTTTTTTTAAGATTTTATTTTTAAGTAATCTCTGCATGTAACATGGGACTTGAACTCACAACCCTGAGGTCAAGAGTCACATGCTGTTACAACTGAGCCAGCCAGGCACCCTGATTATAGTATCTTCATTAATCTCATTTGGACTTCTGTATCTCTTCATATGTGAAGAGTGTTTTGGTCATCTATTACTGCGTAATTTGTACTCTCCATATCCCCTCCCCACACTTCCATTTAATGGCTTGAAACAACAATTTATTATTACTCGCAATTCCATGGCTAGGTGGTTCTGTCACTCATGTGGAAACGTTCAGCTGGTGGCTGGACTGGGCTGGTAGTTAATAGAGGGCTTCTCTCACATTCTAGGGGCTTGATGCTGACTATCAGTCAGGCCACCTTAGATTTCCATGTGGCCTCTCTCTTCACATGGTATCTCATTTGTAGGGCATCCTCTGGCCTCTCTCCTAAGCATGATGGCTTGGATTTCCTTACAGCATGGCCACTGGATTCCAACAGATGGAAAGAGGAAGCTTTCACTTGTCTCTACTGTTAGGTTCAGAGCAGGCATAGTGTTAACTTCTGCATTCTATTGTCCAAAACAAGTCTCAAGACCAACCCAAGGGGAGGGGAAATGGATTCTACTCTTGAATCCCCAAGAAAGAGAGGGGAATGGCCGCCATCTTTGGAGACAGTCTTCCAGATTTTCCCGTAAGTCTGATACATTAAAGATATAGGCTGATCAGAATTGGTAGCTTGTATGGACTCTTTTAGCAATTAAATGAATTTCTGGCTCTCAAACAATGATCAGTGAGTGATGAAGAGTTCATTGGTCCAAGACCAAAAACCAAACAAAAGGGAGAATATAGTGAATTTTAATAAAGTTATAATTAAACAAAATTTAAAGGGTTCTGATATTACTTTCTTCCTTCTTTTATGAAATTATGGCTTTAGTAGTTTTTGGAAAACAAAACAAAACAACTCTTTATCTGGCAAAATAGAATATTGGCCACTTTATAGTGGCCCTTTCAAAATTACTGGCGTTTAAAATCCCAGAGCCGGTTAAGAATCAGGTTTTCTTCAGTCCTGCTATTCCCTTGGTCCCCACCCCCCACCTGGGTTCTTACAAGTGTCCTGGGAAAAGTCCCGTTTCACTTAAGGTATTTTTTTCCTCTGGGTGAAATAGGAGTGTGTGTGTGTGTGTGTGTGTGTGTGTGTGTGTACATGTGTCTGATGGAATTCCTAAAGTTTTTAGTTTTGTTTTCCTAAGCCATTTCTTGGGGAAAAAACTGCCAGCTGGCAGAGAGGTTTCCTCTTCAGTGTCTGAATTACCATGTGGTTTTTACCTCTATGCCTGATACTTCCGGCAGTCAAGAGGAGAAGTCTGCCAAGGGGCACGTCTTTTTCCTCTTGAAGCCTGTTTTAAGCTCTTGGAATCTTGGTAAAATTGGTGAGACCCTTCTGAATTTTCCTCTGACGACCTGCCTCACCATCCTATGCTCATGAGCTGGAAAGCATTTTTCACTCTGGTTTAAATTGTTTTATATTTGGAGTTCTACTCCAGGTATTTTAGTATGAGGTAGAGGCCATCCTTATTTTCTAGTAATTGGATTTTTTTCAGCATGCTTTTTTTGGGTTCCTTTTGTTGGTGTCAGAGAGTTGGTGATGGGGGTTGGTTTTAGTGTATTTCCAGAACACATCGACAAGCATTTATGGAACACCTTTTAGTACTGTCGGTGTAAAGGACATATGAAAAGAACCTTTGAAGAATAAAATAAAATCAATGATACCATTGTAGACAAATGCAGCCATTTTTGCAAGGGTAGATTGAGAATATGAGAAATGGCAGTCACAATGCCCCCTGCCCCTGTTTTTCCCTTTTTCTGTTTTTCTCTCCCTTCTTATATTTGGGTCTCATGAAGACATAGATGAGTGTGAGGTTTCCGGCCTGTGCAGACAAGGAGGACGGTGTGTGAACACTTACGGAAGTTTCGAATGCTACTGTATGGATGGGTACTTGGCAAAGAATGGGCCTGAGCCTTTCCACCCGACCAGAGATGCCACGTCATGCACAGGTGGGTTTCTGCCAAAGAAGGAAGCTTCTGAGGGCGAGATTCTGTTCTCAGATGACTTTCTCCTGCGCTGAGCCTGTGTCTGTGGGGTTGGGTTGGGGTCTGTGTTGGGGATGTGAGTGGAGATTATCTATTCCTTTGCGCAGCTGTACAACCTATGAAATAAAGCCAATGATACAGGGTAGAAGGGGGCTATCTTATATTTTTAAAAAAGCTAAAATTTTTAGGGATTTTTAGCAGTAAATAGATATTATGCTATTAAACATGATTTTAGGTAGTAAATATAGCTGATCTGGTAAGGACCAGCAGAAGAAAATTGACTCTGGAAATTCCAAAGCCATATATATCTTTAGGTATTTTGCAATTTAAATTTTTTACTTTGTTGGGCTAGGCTTCTCTTTAGGGTGAATTAGTGAAGGCTGACTGCCAAATTCCATCAGCTTTATGCATGTATGGATGCTATTACCTATGGAAGGCCAGAAGGCTGAATAGAGACAATCATTGGAAACGTGCCCAGAAGTCAAATGGAAATTAATCAGTCTGTAAAATATGACTCAGGTGTGTGTGGAGGGAGGGGGATGATGGGGCAGAGGTGGAGGGAGATGATGAATTTTGAAAATTTATGTTCACATAGTAATGAATTTGACATTAATTTATTTTCAGAAATAGACTGTGGCACCCCTCCTGAGGTCCCAGATGGCTATATCGTAGGAAATTATACTTCTAGGCTTGGCAGCCAGGTTCGTTATGCTTGCAAAGAAGGATTTTTCAGTGGCCTGGAAGATACAGTTTCAAGCTGCACAGCCTTGGGCACGTGGGAGTCCCCAAAATTAAATTGCCAAGGTGAGTTTTCAAAAGGTTCAGGTTCCCAGATTGTATCATTTTGAGATTGTTTTCATATTTCTTTCCAAATTTCTCTTTAGGGTAGTGAATGAATTAAATAGATCCAGTAAATCCCTGTTGTTTGTAATAGGCTTACAGTTGATTCTCTTGGTATTTTCCGGAATAGTTATCTTATCATCTGCAAATAATGATAATTCCATCTTTTTTTTTAAGTTTTATTTTTAAAATTTTATTAGAGAGAGACAGAGACAGTGTGAGTGGGGGAGGGTCAGAGAGAAGGAGAGAGGGAACCTCAAGCAGCTTCCACACTGTCCGCGCAGAGCCTGACATGGGGCTCAAACCCATGAAACCATTTGATCATGATGTGAGCTGAAACCAGGAGTTGGATGCTTAACCAACTGAGCCACCCAGGCACCTTTTACTTTTCTATGTTTATGAAAGTTCTGTTTCTCTTGATTGACCACAGGCTAGTATTTTCAGAACAAAAATTTAAATAGTAATGTTGACTTTGAATATTCATTTCTTATTCATGACTTTCATGGCTTTGGTTTTAGTTTTTTATGACCTTAGCTTTTCGATGTTACGGGTACCTACTTATATTCTTATGCACACTGATCCAGTGCTCTGTGCCAAGTGCTCTTCTAAGCACTGTATATATGTTGATTCATTCAATCCTTACAGTAACCCTATGAGGATGTACTGTTATTATCCCATTTTATAGGTGAGAAAAGTGAGGCTTGGAAAAGTGAAGTTATCAGTTCAAGGTCAAGGTCATGTAGCTAGTGATAGAGCTGAACTTGAACCCAGGAATTCTGGTTCCAAAGGTTGTATTCTTAATCATGCTGGGGTACTGCTTCTGTTTTCATGATGTTGGTGGCTTTTGGTTTGTTTCTTCCTTTTGGCTTTCTCTCTTTTCATTTATTACAATTATGCTAGTTTTTGGCATAACATAATCTTAAGGAAGCACCTATCCCAACTTTACTAGGGCTTAAAAGAATCAGAAATGAGTTATTTTTTATCATGTCTTCTAGACAGGTGTTAAGGTGATCATGTATGTTTTTGCTTTAAACAAGTCATGTCTAACCTATAATTATATTATTAGATTTCCTGATAATATATTCTAGTATCTGGAATGGATTCTTCTGGGTCTTTGGTTTTTTATTCTTTTCATCTGGATTATAGTTGCTAAATTAAAAAAAGTATTTTTATTTTAGAGAGAAAGGGGGAGGGGCAGAGGGAGAGAGAGAGAATGAAAGAGAGAGAGAGAGAGACAGAGAGACAGAGAATCCCAAGCAGGCTCCATGCTCTCAGTGCAGAGCCCAACATGGAGCTCAAACCCACAAACCATGAGATCATGACCTGAGCTGAAATCAAGAGTCTGACACTCAACCAACTGAGCCATCCAGGCGCTCCTGCTAAATTTCATTTAGAATTTTTCTGTTGATACTCAGAAGTGAGGTTGGCTTATTTTCTTTTTCTGTGCCATCTTTGTTGGGTTTGGTGTCAGTGTTATTCTTAATTTTAAAAAGAGAATTTGAGAGAATTTCTTTCTTTATTCTTTGGACTACTATAAATAGAATTTTTAAAGATTCGGAAAATTTCACTCGAAAATTATCTGGTTATGGCTTTTTTGGAGAGGTAGCCCTGGGGCTATTAAAAAATCCTATACTTATTGGTCTAAGTGTCTTACCCATTTTGGTGTCTATTTTGGTAATTTACGTATTCCTAGAAAATCATCTATTTTATCCAGATTTTCAAGCTTATTTGTAGAGAGAAGTGTAAAGCAATCTTATTTATAATTTTCTGTAGTTATAGTTGTTTATAAATCATGGCATATACATGAAATGGAATATTATGTAGCCAGTAAAAATTACATTAGAAAATAATATTTGTTAATATAGTTTAGTCTTAATAGTATATTACTGAGTTATCAACTATATGTGTAACATGATCTTGGTTGTGAAAGAGTTCATATGTACATATATGCTTACAAAAGCTTAGAAGGGTGTACAACAAAATATTAACAGCAGTAACTTCCACTGGAGGGGATCCTGGATGATTTTCGTATTTGATACTCTTTATGGAAAGAATTTTGAACATATTAGACAAAGTAACAAAGCTGTTTCCATTTTGGAAAAAAGAAAACTTTTCATTGACTTTACTGCATAGCTAGAAAATCTCAGTGAAGTGCTTGGCTAAGTTAATTCTTGTGCTGTTCTGATCTGCAATTCAGGCTCTACACATATTTTAATAGTTAATGATGATACTGGGGGTTAAGCAATTCTAAAAGTACATTATAGTTCTAACATTATCTTTCAATGGATCAATTAAAATGCACAACTTAGATTAAAATGTGCCATAATGCATATCAAAGAACTCTCTGAGGATTTATATAGGAAAACCCTGATAAAAGAGTTAGTGTGGCTTTGAGAACTGCTAGTCGTCTGGATTACTGGACTGAGGATGGAGAAAGTTAATTTAGAGGAGAATACTTGTTACATTCCCCAAAGAACTGTTATTTAAAAGATCTTCACTCCATTTTTACCTCCTCTAATAACTGCTCCGTCTGCCTGCTGACACCTTCTTCTTCCTCCCCCGTGTCACCACATGGCCACCAGCTTCTCAAGGCTGTGCCTGCTTTTCTGAGCACACCCCTTCTTCTTTATCCTTCATGTTCTCTGGGGCTCCAGATTCTGGGCTGTGTGCCAGCCAGCACTGTATTCTCAGCTCAGAGGAATTAGGAATTCCACTGAAAACACTAGCAAACTGTGAACTTGAACAGGTACTTGGGAAGGGAGCTGCTGTGTGTTACAGATGCAGCTTTGGTGTCCAATTTAACAGACTTCCCCATCAGAGAAGGTACAGTTGGTGGATCCCATTGTTTGCCAATTACTGTGTCCCTGGAGGTTCTGCTGCTGTGGCTGGGACCCCGAGGCACAGACTCCCCTCTGAACAGCTCTCAGAGGTGGGACCTGGAAGCGAGGATGACAGCTTCTCATGCCAGGGCATCTGGGGCTCCTGAAACATCAGTCCCACATTTCCATCAGCTCTCTGGAAAAGACAGAATCAATCTCTAGTTTGTATTGCCTATTATTTTATTATTACTTGTTTAACTTTCAAAAAAGATGCAAGTTGTACATGGCACTTTAGAGAACTTAAACTTTTAAAATTCAACCAAGCCAGAAGCAAAGTGAGGGAATCACTTCAACTGTGTTATCAACAACAATCCAGAGTCCAGGTCTGATGCTAGATAAACTGTAGACCTTGTGACTAAGGAAATCTGGGGTCTGGGAGAAGAGAAAAGACAGGTATATCATGAACTATGATGCAAGGGTGAGCTCCTAAGTATTATGTGAAAAGATGGATAAACACTAAGGGTTCTGATGGGAGATAGGGTGGTTCCAGGAAAGAGATGACATTTGTGCTCTTCTCTTTGAGTAGTTTACTTGCTGTGTAAGAGTCCGGGGAGGAGTGGTTTGCAGTGTTGGTCGATGAGTTGGAGGGTTCTGGGGGGTGGGGGGAGTCTCTTCCAAGATAAAATCCAAACTCCTAACCATGGCCTCTGAAACCAACAGGGTTTGGCCTTTTTGACTTCTCTACAGGTTACATTTCCCATCATTCTCTTCCAACCAACATGTCAAGCTTTTATCAACGTCAGGGCCTTTACACCTGCATCTCCTGCTACTTAAAATACTTGCCAACCATCTTAATTTTTTTTTTTACTGTGATAAAATACACATAATATAAAATTTACCATTTTCACCACTTATAAATATACAATTCAGTGGCATTAAGTACATTCACAATGTTGTGTAACCATCACTGTTATCTGTTTCCAGAATGTTTTCATTATCCCAGACAGAAACTCTGTACCCATTAAACAATAACTCCTCATTCCTGTGTCCCTCCAGCCCCTGGTAACCTCTGTTGTACATTCTGTCTCTGTGAATTTGCATTCTAGGTACCTTATAGAAGAGGAATCATGCAATATTTGACTTTTAATGTCTAGCTTCATTCACTTAGCATAATGTCTTCAAGATTCATCCATGTTGTAGCAGGTGTCAGAACTTCATTCTTGTCTAAGGCTGAGTGATATTCTATTCTGCGTATATATTTGGTGATGGAGTCTCCCTGGTTTTTTACATAGCATGCTCCTTCTCATCTTTTAAGTTTCAGCTTCAGTGTCACCTCTGACATTACTGTCTTCCTTAGTGTCCAGTATGTAAGTATCTTATTTATGATTATTTTTGTAGTTTATGTCACCCCTACTGGACTATAATCTGGGAGCTCTGCGACCACGGAGTCGTCCTAGGCATGATCTCTCCAGCACCTGGCACCCTGCCTAGCATGCCTAAGGCCTGTGGGAGCACCCTGAACTCCGTTCACAAGGGGGTGCAGACCATGCCCGACAGTAGGGAGTTGGCTCCTGAACTGCTGTCCCAGCTGATCACATGGCTGAGCCCTGCTGAGACCCTGACCTCCTGTTTTGTTTCAGCCCTCAAGCTTCATATCCTTTGCTGATTCCACATCTTCTTTGTCTTCTGTACCTTCACACTTCCTTCTCACTTGGCATGACACCTCTGTGCTTTGAGGAAGCAGGGCAAGGCCTTGGGGCTGATTCCTGATTTTCCCCATATCCATGCATATGGCCCTCAAAGAATGGGGGGCCCAGCACTTCTGGGCTGATTGCAGAGGCACGAGTTTCTCCTTTGAGTTAATGAGGATACAACATGGTTTGTAATGTCTACTAATAACAGAGCCTTTCTCTAAAGGTGGCCAGCACTTTTTTTTTATTGTTTCTTTTGTTTTTTTTAATATAATTTATTGTCAAATTGGTTTCCATACAACACCCAGTGCTCATCCCAACAGGTGTCCTCCTCAATGCCCATCACCCACTTTCCCCTCCCTCCCACCCCCCATCAACCCTCAGTTTGTTCTCAATATTTAAAAGTCTCTTATGGTTTGCCTCCCTCCCTCTCTGTAACTTTTATTTCCCCCCT